TTGATATTTACGATATTTACTTTTATTATAGTTACTGTTTTTTTTATTATAATTATTGTTTTTTTGTTAATTTAACAAGCCTTTCTATTTTTCTACGATTTGTTATAAGTGAATTACAAATTTGCTGTCACTGAAAATGCAGTAAATATCTTGAAAGATGCAGATATAATTTTCGATTTAAGTAAAAATGATCTAAGAACTAAATTTTCGCGATTACATTCATGAGCTTTTTTAGAAAAAAATTTTGTTCGAATAATTACGAGCAAATGTTGATTCCAACTATTAAATTGATATTCTATGAATCGATGTCAAAAACACTCGATACTGCCTGAACAAACTTGCTTCATGGTTTGATCCAAGAATCGTGAAGGGTCGTCCTACTGAAGGGTGCGTTTCTCCATTGGACGCGTACAAACTGGCCGCTCTTTTGTCGAGGACAATGCCGAGAGCTTACGTTCGTTCAATATTTTCCGTCAATAGGGCTGTACGCGCTCATCTCGTTATAAAGTCTGTTTGATCGGCAAACATCGTGGATCTCGATGCATGTGGCCCGAATAGTGCAACCGGTGCGCGCGCGCACACACACACACACACACACACACACACACACACACACACACACACACACACACACACACACACACACACACACACACGCGCGCGGACAATTGCTGCGCTTACGTGAGAAATATTCATCTCTTAAAAATATTTTTGTGATATTTTCTAGCTAGATATAATGCTTCATTTAATTTAATTAAAAACTCTCTACCTTACAGTTTTCATGTACAATTCTTTAATTAAGTTTGTTTACAAATCGCTTTTAAAAATACTTGTTAATTAATTGACAATCTGTAGTGTTATCTGTAGATGCTTGTAACGAAAAAAGAAAAATAATAATAAAAAACGAAAACATTAAAAAAGACACTAAAAATAATTATTCATTTTGAATGAAGATTTAAGCCGACGATTTAAAATAAATATGAGTTATGGGTAAGATTTTAAAATATATCTAGCTACACATACAGATACCTTTAAATTATATTTTATATTTTATTATAATAATGGTAATATTAAAAAATATACTAAATAATTTATTAATTACTTTTGATTTCATTATTTTGAAGACATTTAATCATAATATAATAATAATAAAGTAATTAAAAATCCTTGTATCACATGTACTATTTTTTGTATACAAAAACCGAAGTTTTGGCATTAATAATCAGGATTGGATAGTAACTAGTTAAAACGTTAAAAGTTGAAAAAAAAGTTAAAAAGTTAATAACTTTTAATTTAACTTAGTTAATTTTAAATACATTAAATTTTAACTTAACTAAGTTACTTTTAAACGTTAATTTTTTAACTTTTTTTAAGTTAAAAATTTTTTTATCTCTTTTAAATATCTTAGAAAAATAATAAGATATAATTAAGGGCATATATTCTTAATCTGTTCATATTTTAAGATCTTAAGTAATTTCTTAAGATGCTAATACAGCCATCTGATTAGTTTATGCGGTTATGCTTTATGCCATTAGTCCGGATCTACAATAAGTGTTTTAACCTTAAGTAAAAAATAAAAATTGACTAATTATAGTCAAATATTCTTTTCGCATTCGATTGTAATTGGTCAATTTCTTATGGCTTAAGATTTATTAAAATAATCACTGATCTTGTATCTTCTCTACGTGCTGGCTGTTTTTTTAAAGTTATATAACTTATATAGTTATATTGTTATGTGTTATATACTTATATCACATATGAATAAAAAAATTAAAAATTTAATTTACTTAATAATCTATATTGTAATTATTTAATCTCATTTTAAGAAAAATTAGGACATTTTGATCTAAAAATAATTTTTTTTCAAAATTAACTTTTTTTTAACTTAAATTAATTCAATATTGACTTAACTTACGTTAAGTTAATTTTTCATTCCTTCAACTTTTAACTTAACTTTATTAAGTTTGTAAAGTCATTAACTTTAACTTTATTCAGTTAAAAAAAAACATTAACTTATCCAACCCTGCTAATAATACTTAATCCTTACATTGTCATTCCTACAACATGATACGAAAACTCGGCAAATAAAAACGAAATTGCAATTATCGTATTAAAACAATTTACGATAAGACTTTCTAGACATTAATCGTTTTCAGTTTTGTAAATCAAATTTATATTTGTTCAGGTCTTTTTTATTTATATTTGGTCAGATGGATCAAAAGACGTTATCATACATATAATGGAATTATGCCTTTGCTGAGGAAATGTATCTGAAAATACATCTAAAAATTAATTAAGATGTATTTTTGAAGTTGAATCTAGATACAGATACAAATATTCGAAAGTATCTCAAATATACAGGTTAGATATACAAAATATATTTCTATACATGTATCAAGATATATACCAAGAGATATTGCCCAACACTAGTTATAGCCGAGAAAAAAAAAAGAAATCAGTTGTGACATTGAAATTCATTAGAATGGGACAAAAGCCTTGTAATTTACATGATGTAACTTTTGGGTATTATCAAGATCGTAAGTAATCTTGACACAGTCTGCTTGCATCTGTGCCCAATATTCTGGCGCCTATCTTGGAGTCATCCTCCCACCGCTACCCTCGTACTGTCTGCCGTACAACAACTCACCTACGCCGAGAGAACCGATGACAAACGTTGCCATCTAAACAAAGGGTCTCGTGGCATACGCGCACCAGACACGCAATTTCCGCGCGGCATGTAAATCGTGCGAAATGAATTTCTGCCAATCACGCACGTGCACCAGCCGCACACGATCATGGAAGATGATCCTGCAGAGCGTATTTCCGAAAAAAGCATGAGCCCACCTAACAAAGCCTATAAAGCAATGAAAAAAAATATCTATATACACGTAAAAAAAAAAAAAACTGCGTTACGAAACAAAATTACGGTGTTTATCGGTGCATTTTTTAGCATTTTACTCTTATTATCGTTTTCTGAATCATCATCATTAAAACATTTTGTGTTTACGTGATTACGTGTGTAATATTCTTATCGTCCTACAAACACAACGAAGAATTGTATAATTAATCTAGCATAAATTTTAACGTATTGCAATGTTTTCGTTAGATTTAACGACCTCAATACATTATTTATTGCATTGTTTTTCCAAATAATTGCGAAATGGAATTGCACTCTCGTAATTGAAAATTTGATTGGCTATAAGGCTTCAAATATAGATGTGAAATTAATATTGATTCGTGATCCGTATAAAGATTAAATTTATCCGAGAAATCATAGAAGTGAGATATTTTATACTGGTTGTAATAACTGATTTTAGTTATATATGTGATATGTATAATATAAGTACAATATGTGTATGTAATGTAAGTATATTATGGTTTTAATTATTTTTTTCTTATTTTTTCATTAATGTACAAATTCAAATATTTACATACATTAAAAATTATTCTAATAAGAAATTATAAATAAAAAAAAAAATTCACTGATTAAGTATTCGCAAAATTTTTTTTTTGATCATAAAAATTATATTTAATCAATCCTGAAATTTTGAAATCTAATTTTAACAAATTTGTAAACACACTGTCGGATTTCATGTTTAATATAATAAAACAGACTCTTCTTGCTTTCTACATATTTCCGAACTATTCATTGTTCAAAAATTGATCTAATATTTTATATCATTTTGTTAAATGTTTCTCTGAATTATTAAAAAAATATGAATAAAGGCATATAATAAATGCGGTATCTCAGTTATAATTTAGTGACCTCTTCTATTTTTATATAACAAAAATCTTTAGTTTTTCTGAAAGACATTTCATTCAAGATGACAATGCAAAGTTATAAAATTAAATAGAAAAATCCAGTAATAATCAAAAAACGTTAAAAAATCTCTACTTTTGCACATTCATCTAACCTATCGGATTGGGGAATTCGCACACGTGCTCTCGATGGTTCATATGGTTCTCTCATCGATACCTCCATTTAGATGATTGATGCTCGTCGTCATTCGGTAGACGCGACGATATAAATCAAAAGACGTCTTTACACGAACCCTGTTCTAGGTGCGAATCCTTTTCTTCCCGTTTCTTCCTCTTTCCCGTCGTCCTCTTTCATGTAAGGTGCTGCCAGGCGTTATCAAATCAGCCGACAACAGGGAGGAAGAGGGGATTAAACACCAAACGAGCGACGGGCTTCGATTGTTAGGGTATAGTGTGAGTGGTGTGAGTTGACGAGGGTGCCAGAGAGAGAGGAGGTTGTATTACCGTATAACCTCTCTGGAGCATGTAGGGCTTGGATCCGCCTTGTATTCCCTTCCGTAATACGTCCCGTGATAGTCATTGTCGACGTATTATCCGATTACAGGCGGAAAAAGAGCGCGATGCTTCGTTAATACTCCGATCTAATAACAGTGAAAGTAATTCCAGTTTTTTTTACAGTTGAGGACAGAAAGCATTTTTGTATTCATAAGATTTGTATTCACAAGTCGCATTAAATTAAAGTAAATACTGCTATACCATATATTTTTTTCTATATATTTATAATAGTTTTAAGTCTTTTTATATATATCTTTATATATACATATTTTTTTTTTTATTTAATTTATGTTCAAACTTCAATCGTATTCTATAATAATCACCAATAACAATTTAGCCTTATATATTAAAAAGAAAAAAAAAAACAGAAATTTTTAAATATGACAAATAATTATTCTTTGTCCGTCTTTTTTAAGTTTTATAAATAATTTTTTCCTGTATTGCCAGAATTTATTCGAATCTACTTATCAAACGACATTTCCGCATGCATACATGCATGTATGCATGTGACAATTATTTCGTATCAGCAACATGTACTTAAAAGCCTGTGGAACATATTGATATTTTGTCATTATTCTTGTTATATACGGAATATACTTAACAGTGAGTAACTACGACAAATGACAAAACAGACGTGTATCATTATTCACTGTCAATTTAGCAAATAAATTGTTATTCAGCGACACAGTATAAATATCGTCACTACGACGCAAGCATTCACAGTACAAGTTGATGCATTAGCAGCGTAAGATTGCAATATGAGACTATCAGTGGTGTTCTTGGTCTTGATGATCGTGGTGTGTGCCATGTTCCAGGAATCCGTAAGTCTTACATTGTAATTCAAACATCTTTTATCGATGAATTTCTAAAAAATAAGTTTTCTATTCTGTGCGAAGGAATCCCGTTATTGGAGTCCATGGCATGGGCGTGGACGCCCTAGTAGATGCCATAGAACATCGACATCGACATCGACTAGCACCACCACCACCACCACTACCACAACTCCCTCCACTACACCAAGTTCTAGAAAAAGACGCGATATCGCGGACTCAAATCAACATAAATTTGAATGATAGGACAACAAATGCGAAAACTACTCTGGATGGAAACGGTGACAAAATGTTAAGATTTCATGAAAAAATTATGTAACTACATTGCACTATTCAATAAGATAAACTTAGAATAATATCTAAATTGCCCACGTAAGCAAATCTAAATTAAATAGCAATAAAGATATATCAACGCCTAAGTATGGATGAATATAATTTTTTAAACTTTTACAAAATTAATTACAAATATTCAGTACGGTACACATAAAACGAGAAAAATAGGAATTTTTCTAGAAATATATTTATAAAAATTTTGTCGTGACGTATATGAATATTAAAATGTATATTATAACGTACTTAATACGAGTGTTCAAATTTAGCGATACAAATTCGATTCTGTGAATACTTTTCTAATGCACATTATCAACATAAAAAATTATATTATCAACATAAAAAAAAATCACACAAAATTGAAAACATCATGATTACTTTATATATACACTTAATTAAAATTAAAATGTTAATTTTAATATTTTTGCATATCTCAAAAAGTCCACTATATATTTTTGAGATAAAATTAACATTTTATTTTTAACAATGTATATATAATA